CCATGAGCTCGATGGCGAGCAGAATCAGCCAAATACTCGCCACGACTCATGCGAGCGCGACAACCCATGACGGTGTGGGAGTGTGCAATGCGCGGGGAATCACGCGAATCGAGTCTTTGAACGGGTCCGTGACGCCAGTCCTCCAGGCGAGTTGGGCTCGACCGCCGTGGAAGGGCCGGGGGGAAAAAGAAATCGACCCGACGAAGCCGGCTCCTCACGAAGAGCAATAGGCCGGGTCGTGGGGTCCTTCACGTCCAGAGCACGCGAGGCCGACACGAGTGGCCGCGTGCGAGGCATCAATCGCGCAGCGCCTTAGAGAGCAGGGAGTCGTAGGAAGGCGGACATCCTGGGGGCCGCTGTCGAGAAACCCGGCAGCCCGATTCAACGTGCCCCAGTAAGCCGCAGTTGTAGCAGGCGACCCGTTCACTGCTGGACTGGGATGAAGCAGACCTCGTCCACCGCCGGTCGTCCCGCCGCCGATCACCGTCACCCCGACGATCGTCGCTCCGTTGATGCAGCGAGCACGTGGAAGCAGGCCCCTCGTCTGCGTGGGCCCCAGGCCCCGTGGAAGACGCAGAGCACGCCACCAACACCCTGTCACGTTGCAGGGTCTGCTGCGCACCTGGCGATCTTGAGTGAACACACCTCTCCGTCCTCGGCGGGAAGTACAGTATGGAGGTCTTTGGCGACTCCCAACATCTTCTCGAGGACCAAGGCGTCAAGGCCGTCGTGGTCCATTTTCAGGAACGCGGCCTTCGCCAGCGCCAAGAGCGCACAGCGACTGGATGTCAATCGACGAGGACGTCCCCGCTTCATGCTTGGTGGGCTCAGCGCTCCCCGCCGGCGCCAAAATAGCGCCCGCGATGGTGTTCCCGCCTGCTGTGCAATGGCGGCCGAGTCGCCCCGTCCGGACGACTCCGCCGCTCCCTCCTTGTGCCGTCGAGGGCAGGGACCGCATCTCAACGAGGATTGAGGATGCCGCTTGGAGGAGGTCAGCGAGACAGCCGTGCGCGTCCCTGACGAGCTCCTCCAACGAAGGCGAGGCGCCACGCGCCCCGACTGCACTCTGCTCCGCCAGCAGCGCCTCCGCTCCATCCTCGGCGGCCGTGGGTGGAATCAGCTCGTCGTCGTCTTGGTCGTCCGACGTCCGTACATGAACTCTACGACGTGTAGACATGACTTGTCTACCGCTAGCTACAGTCTAGCAAGTTGGCCACTTCCGCCATCAGTTGTAGCGAGTCCAACCGAGTCGCAGACGTTGTCTTGGGAGCAACACTATTTATTCAATAAATCAACATAACATAACGTAACCTACCCTTGGGTGTTGAATGCTCATCTAGCCACGCTACGGCAGAACTAGACATGGTTCGCTATCCCGGCCCGGACCACAAGCCGCATGGCTCACAGGGCTATACCTAATAAATGAAACTTGAAACTTGAAGCTGGGTCCCGGACCGCGTGGCTAGAGGCTTCTTTTACCCAACGTGGATCTTCATCACCGGCAACACAAAGAACCCCTAGCCCCTCACGGGGCCCCCGTTATATCATCCTGGGGTGGGGTTGGCTCCGCCCCACGCCCCGCCCACCTTCTAGATCTCTCGAGCTCTTTCCTTAAGGCTCCCCGAGAGCTCTTTTAGACCACGTGATCGCCCAGCGGCCCCCGTCCACTGGTGCCCCCCCTCCAATATAATCCGGTCACGTGTCGGCAGGTCAACCAGCGTATCATGTCCCAAGGTAACTCTGGCCGGCTGACACTCCCTCTCGCTCCCTCACCGGCAGCCCGCACCGCACACTGTACGTGATGCCTCCGCGCTGACCAGCACTCACCCAAACCCCGCTAGGGCTGGTACTATGCCCCGTAAGCGGGCTACACGTAATGCCAACACAGTGACAATCACAGTCACTACACATCTGTCTATACACAACGCCTGTACGTTAATTTCCTCTCCACATGTAAAAGTGTTTTAAAGGGCTGCCTGGCGTGCACTTCTGGCCTCAGTTTGTAGGAACAAGTTCATCTTGCTTCACGATCACAATAAAACAGTTTTTTTCGTGTGACAATAAAACACTTTGTATTATTGTGATGCAAAACAAATGCATATCTTTCAAATAACAAGTTTTCCTCATGTACAGTTTCTGCCAAACTATTTCTAAGTTTGTTGTGTGTGAACACCGTTCTGCCAAATAATGGCCAACGGCTAGTCCCGCGATTCATAGTTTCAGTCGGAAGGGGGAAAATGTTTTTTTCGGTGTTTCAGGAGTTATGTTTTTTATTTAAACTGTGGCCTGCACACTATATTTGCCGAATGCATTTTCACTTGTGGTAAGTTAATGAATTACAAGGAAGCTGCCGTGCTATATTGGTTAGCACACTGATCTTGCGATCTAGAGGTCGCTGGTTCGATCTCCCACGGTGGCAAATGAAGCAATTGTGCAAAATTCTTAAATCCCCCCCCCCCCCCCCCGCTCCGCTTCTATCCATCTGGCAGTAAAAATGGAATGGATACACCATAGATAGTCGTCGGCAGGTCACTTGTGGTGGTGTAAAGTGTAGGTACTCCCACCTCCACCAAAACTCTTGGCCAGCATGCAAGAGTAGGCCAAATACTGTTCAGGGGCTCCTCTACAGATTTCTTAAGTGGAGGCCCTTCTGCCAGCAGCGGCATGAGCAAAATATTGTAGGCCTGCACCTTTACCTTTATAAAGGCTCACAAGCCACCTGCTTTTGATGTTCAATTATTCAGCCATGGGAGAAAGCAGCCTGAGCAGTGGTTTCCTATGGACAAGGAACAACAGAACCCTGCCTCGGGTTAGAATGGCCATGCCTCCCCTCTGCTTCAGTGGGTCTCTCACTCCTTCCATCCCGAATAACCCCAAACCTATTGAGGCACAAAAGTATCCCTCGGTCCACCAAGGCAAGGAAGGGCAGAGCCTCGTTTTGATGTGGTGCTTCTCTGTAGGACACTCGACCACATAATTCCCCTGGCTTCTGAGGCCTCCCTTGGACAGGATTTACTCCGCATTTTACTGCACAGGAACCACCGTCTCCAGGCATCGAGGAAAACAGATAAAAATACCACTCCCCTGGAACTTTGAAGGGGTTATACTATTATATTTGAAAAATTGCCAAAGATATGCTTTTTAAGAGGGTATGTGCGTGCATCCAAGTTTAGAATGAGGACAACAGCTCATGGTGGCTCTAAAAAGCAGGGACATTTCCAAAATACCACCATAGAAAATTGTTTATTTTTATTTTTAGGGCAGTCTTTTTGATAGATGTGCCAAGTTTTGTTATTTGTGCACCACTGCTAATACAGCAACACATTTTTGCTAATAAATGAGGCTCTGTTCCCAGTATAGATTTCATGCAATACTTGATTACAGAGAAAACAAAATGTATGATTTAAAAGGAAAAAACAACTAAAGTTGGTCCATTGTATTGCAAATAATAAACCATTAGAGTATATGCATATATTATCAACAGAAATCCTTTCTGCTGGATTTCTAAATTAAATTTTTAAGAAGGAATGTCAAAAATGTACCGTCGTTAATTTTTTTTATATAAATATGGAAATGTAATCAGTGAGCATGTTTGCAAATGTAATAAAAGTGGGATTATTTCACGAATAATTGAGAATAATAAGTTCTAATCCAACGAACATCTTTTGGTTCCCATAACACAGATCTGCTCGTGAGAACAGCAGGACTGCAAGCAATACACCTGGGGCTCTGTCTCCATGGAGACCCCTTGCAGGTCAGAAGGTCAGGGCCCAACTGTGCTGCGGGATGCTACGCTAGGGACCCCAAATTAAAAATCCTTCGGCACAGCTTTGAAACATGCACCTGGCAGATGCAGAAAACAGATGCTGCGGGGGAGGCATGCAGTGACATTACGACATATTTGTTCCAATTTAGCCCACACTGGCAGCAGTCATGCACGTTGGGTGCCTTGCAAACCCACTGGTGAATGGGCCACCTGCTCAGCGCAAGGTCTGTTTCCCCAATGTATACATATTTAAAAAATAGTTTCAAGAGCAATGACTTTATTTTTACCCACATTTTGAGATTTAAAAAAATTTGCTTTTAAATGTGTTTGCTCTACCAGAGGTGTGTTTATAATTTGTGACATGGCGTGCAAATGGAACGTGGGTTATTATGGTTGTAAGGTGATTTTAAGACGATGCTTAATTTCACAAGTTATACAAAACAAGTGGCAACATTTCATTCAAGCACATGATCAAAGGGTGCCATGACATCTACACCGTAACACATCCGACCGCTCCTTTATATAGCAAGTGTTAAGTTTGTGCAAAATGTCAGCGAGTCAATTAATATTTGGCCCTTGCAAAAAAACAGAAATGTTAGCAAAACACTACTCTCATGGTAGCCATCTGGCTACCATGAGAGATTCGTTCATGAGGCTATCCACATATACAAGCACAGAGACAATTTCAACCGAGAAGATGGATTCTGGCTTAGCAATCATTGGAAGGATTTGATAAACAATTTCAGGTCTTAATTGATTGTTCACGCTTACGGTGGCCTTCAGCCAGCATACATTAATTTTTCGTCTCCCCCCCTCCTCTTTTCAGAACATAGATGGACTCGTCCTTCTAAATTAACCTGCCAAATCGCTGCCCGTGGCGCTAACGTTTTTTTTTTAAATAAATAAATAAATGTGCCGTTTACAAATAAATAAATGCAAACCGCCACTTCTTTCAAATGTGTCTTGCCGTTGGTTTTTCACACCTGATGATGACTGTTTGTGTTATGATCGAAACGTCGTGAGAATTTTTATTGTTTTATATATTTTATTATTTTATTGTTTCCCTTTAACGTGACTTTACCGAAAGAGCTAAGAATATGTACTACACAACACGTTTGTTAAAATACCTCCAGCTCCTTTTCAGGCCCTGTTGTTTTCTCTTTCCCTTTGTGCCTCAGCCTTTCCTCCTGACCCTTCCCCTTCCCTCCAGATTCCACCAGTCTGCGGGCCTTACCTCATGGGCTGGGTGCGCAGGGCAGTCTTCAGGCCCTCCACCGTCTTGTTGCGTGTCTCCACCTCCTCCTGGTTGTACGCAAACATGGACTGCATCTGGGGGGGTGGGGGGGGGGCACAGCCACACAAGCTCATCGGTTGTTTTCCCTGCAGGCATCACCATTGGGAGTCCAATATGAATGCAATCTTGGGGGGCCCCTCCTTCAATTTATAAAATCCTCGTGAGGTGACATAAAATACGGAGACAAGATATAGAGATGTTGTAAAATGATAAAAAAAGTACGTGAACCATATTGTGTTTCTCCGTTAATGAACTTGTGTTTATTCGGCTTTTTATTTTAGAAGATATTCGATGCATCAATATTTTTTCGTGAATCCAGGGCCCCTTGAGTGAGCGAACTTCTGACGGGTGTTTGGTTTGAATATATTTTTCACCGCCACTTACCACCAAGGCCAGTAACAGCAAATAGCACCGACTGAGGACTGACTTCGCACAGCCGGCGCGTGCCGTGTACGGTAAGCTCTACTGCTGGATGTGGGCGTTGCTCACCGTTGCCATCTGGTTAAGGCGATCGATGTAGTAGTCGGGCCAGCTCGTCGCCTGCCTGTTCGGGTCATCCTGTTCCTGCACACCACAAGACATGGCGATGTAAACAGTGAGCAAGGATCTTGTCGGTCCACGAGCCCAGACCAGATCATTCACTTGTCAGTGCCACCCAAGGTGACATCAATGTACTAGTTTATTGATGTGGCCAGCAACAGTTTAATACGTGGTAACTATTTGCAAAGAGTGGCTTATTAAAATAATCCACTTTTTTGCCAAAAAATCAATCAGTATGACTAAGATGTTGCTACCTTATGTAGTTCCAATTTCTGCTCTGGCCCATGGACTATATGCACACATTTTACGCACAATGTTCAATATAAATAACACATTTATCTATTGTGACCTCCTTTCTAGATTGATGAATGTCATCATCATCAGCAACAGCAGATATTGTCTATCCCCTGCTGTTTTAAGGATGTTGATGATTGGAGAGACGCAAAACTAACTCTTAGAGAGCAAGATGTAACCAAAGTGCATGATGAGAAGCAATCATTAAACTAGTGGAGGAATTGAATACGGCGCTTTATAATTGTTTACAAATGAGATGTTAAATAATGGCATCATTGATAGGTGGATTCATAAATAATCATAGTGGAATTTTCCAAACTTGCAAGACAGTCTCGCTAAGTTAATGATCAGTCGATCACAATTTTTATAAATAATGGGCAGCAACAATCACTGCAGTGGAAAGCATAAAACTAGTCAGTGAATAATTCAGGAATATTTCAGTGAAGCATGACATTTTTACTCCACACACATACGCTGCCCTTAAAATTAATCTTTTTAAAAAAGTGAAATATTACAGGAAGCGCGATGTTTCAAGTTGCACGTGAATTAAACTGGGCCATGTTTGTTGACTGGAAGCACTAAAGATTGATTTACAGCAGCTGAGAAGAATGATTAAAACCACACACTGTCAATAGCACTGAGCACAAGTTAATAATGCAGAAGCCTTCCCACGCTTCATCTCATCACGCGGTGCACGTTGAGAGATTTAAACTGAAAAATGTTCAAAGGGGAAAAAAGCGTACCTAGTAGATTTATTACCAGTAAGGTTCTTCCATGCAGTCCCAGCGCAATACATTTCATGCAATTATTTGATTAATTAAATTATGTTTGAATTGTAACATTGTGAAGAAATTTAACACGTGAAAAATGATAATTCGCATTCACTGACGTTAGCAATGGATTCTGAGATTATAAAAATGTAATGTTTCCTTTGAGGAGGGCAAAGTCACACGGCAAAAATGCCCCATTTAATATATCTTTAAAATAGCATACTTTTTTTATACCGTAATAACCATTTGAAATACTTTTGACCATGAATGTGCCCCCTAAGTCTGTTGTCACATAATGAACATACATACCAGTAATACATATGTAGTGGTTGACTTCACGCGGACAACTTTATTGTTTTCTCCGACACCACTTTTATTACAACTCTCCACATTACGCCCGTGACTTCATCTTTTCACTCCGCTTCCTTCCCTATCTCTCACTGTCCCTCCGCGTCGTCTCTGTCTCTCTCTGTCGCTCGCTGTCTCTGTCTCTCTCTCCGTCACTCGCTGTCCCCGTCTCTCTCTCCGTCACTCGCTGTCTCTGTCTCTCTCCGCCGCTCGCTGTCTCTGTCTCTCTCCGTCACTCGCTGTCTCTGTCTCTCTCTCCGTCGCTCGCTGTCTCTGTTTCTCTCCGTCACTCGCTGTCTCTGTCTCTCTCCGTCACTTGCTGTCTCTGTCTCTCTCGGTCACTCGCTGTCTCTGTCTCTCTCCGTCGCTCGCTGTCTCTGTCTCTCTCCGTCACTCGCTGTCTCTGTCTCTCTCTCCGTCGCTCGCTGTCTCTGTTTCTCTCCGTCACTCGCTGTCTCTGTCTCTCTCTCCGTCGCTCGCTGTCTCTGTCTCTCTCCGTCACTCGCTGTCTCTGTCTCTCTCTCCGTCACTCGCTGTCTCTGTCTCTCTCCATCACTCGCTGTCCCCGTCTCTCTCTCCGTCACTCGCTGTCTCTGTCTCTCTCCGTCACTCGCTGTCTCTGTCTCTCTCCGCCGCTCGCTGTCTCTGTCTCTCTCCGTCACTCGCTGTCTCTGTCTCTCTCCGTCACTCGCTGTCTCTGTCTCTCTCCGTCGCTCGCTGTCTCTGTCTCTCTCCGTCGCTCGCTGTCTCTGTCTCTCTCGGTCACTCGCTGTCTCTGTCTCTCTCCGTCACTCGCTGTCTCTGTCTCTCTCCGTCGCTCGCTGTCTCTGTCTCTCTCGGTCACTCGCTGTCTCTGTCTCTCTCCGTCACTCGCTGTCTCTGTCTCTCTCCGTCACTCGCTGTCTCTGTCTCTCTCCGTCACTCGCTGTCTCTATCTCTCTCCGTCGCTCGCTGTCCCCGTCTCTCTCCGTCGCTCGCTGTCTTTGTCTCTCTCTGTCGCTCGCTGTCTCTGTCTCTCTCCGTCGCTCGCTGTCCCCGTCTCTCTCTCCGTCGCTCGCTGTCTCTGTCTCTCTCTCCGTCGCTCGCTGTCTCTGTCTCTCTCCGTCACTCGCTGTCTGTCTCTCTCCGTCGCTCGCTGTCTCTGTCCATCGCTCGCTGTCTCTGTCTCTCTCCATCGCTCGCTGTCTGTCTCTCTCCGTCGCTCGCTGTCTCTGTCTCTCTCCATCGCTCGCTGTCTCTGTCTCTCTCCGTCGCTCGCTGTCTCTGTCTCTCTCCATCGCTCGCTGTCCCCGTCTCTCTCCGTCGCTCGCTGTCTTTGTCTCTCTCTGTCGCTCGCTGTCTCTGTCTCTCTCCGTCGCTCGCTGTCCCCGTCTCTCTCTCCGTCGCTCGCTGTCTCTGTCTCTCTCTCCGTCGCTCGCTGTCTCTGTCTCTCTCCGTCACTCGCTGTCTGTCTCTCTCCGTTGCTCGCTGTCTCTGTCCGTCGCTCGCTGTCTCTGTCTCTCTCCATCGCTCGCTGTCTGTCTCTCTCCGTCGCTCGCTGTCTCTGTCTCTCTCCATCGCTCGCTGTCTCTGTCTCTCTCCGTCGCTCGCTGTCTCTGTCTCTCTCCGTCGCTCGCTGTCTCTGTCTCTCTCCGTCGCTCGCTGTCTTTGTCTCTCTCCGTCGCTCGCTGTCTCTGTCTCTCTCCATCGCTCGCTGTCTCTGTCTCTCTCCATCACTCGTCGTCTCTGTCTCTCTCCGTCAAAAGGGGTTCCACAGGGTTCCATCCTCGGCCCCCTCTTGTTCTCTCTTTATGTCAATGACTTGGGCACTGACCTGGATCATTCCAGGGTAAATCTTTTTGCAGATGACACGATACTGATTACTGCTGGCCGCTCTCCGGATGACGTGATTGCTGAGCTCCAGGGTGATTTCAACAAAATACAACATCAGCTAGTTGCTCTTAAACTAGTCCTAAATACCTCCAAAACCAAGGTGCTATGCTTCTCACCAGGACTAAAGCAGGAAGTTATTTTTCCCAAATTACATTCCTTAAATAATTATCAAATAGAGCAAGTAAAGATCTATAAGTATCTTGGGGTCATCCTGGATTCAAAACTGAATTTTGAAGATCACATTGATTATATTGGTAAAAAGACAAAAATAAAAACTGGTTTTCTGTATCGACACAAGCACTGCTTCCCCCCAATGTTCTGTTTGGAATTGATAAAAGCTACCATACTGCCTCTACTTGACTACTGTGACATCGTGTATAAATCAGCCCCAAGTACTGTATTGAAGAAGCTTGATTCCATCTATCACTCGGCCTTAAGATTTACATTGAACTGCCCATATAGGACTCACCACTGTGATCTCTACATTGGGTCAATCTTAACATCTCTTAATGTTCGACGGGTTGTACACCAGATCTTATTTATTCACGATGTACTTACAAAAAAATCCGCAGACTACCTGCTGGATCTCCTCTGTTTCAAAGAACAAATTTGACCTCAGGTCTTCGCTCATCTACCAGCTTCACATTCCCTATTGCCGTACAAAAACCGGAGGAAGGGCCTTTGCTATTGATGCCCCCAGGGTCTGGAATGCTATTGCCAATAAACTGCAACTTGAATCACCACCTATCAGATCTTCATTCAAAACTGCTCTAGAGGAGTTGTACACCCCTAGCTACCACTGCTATTCAGTGGCCTAAAATAAAATAAAATGTTTCACTCCGGATAACCGCTGCAAAGTATTATCTGTATTTTGATTTAGTGTGCTGATCTTAAAGGTGCATTGAAAAATGTGATACTCCGACTGATGCTCCTGTTGTTTGTGGAGTAACTCATGCAGCCAGCTGTGGCTCTAGGGTTTGGTGTTACATGTTATTTATGTAGTTTATTGTTAAAAATTCGGTCACAGTTCCTATGATCACTGTTACATTGCATTTATGGCTTTATTTTGATTTCTCAAAGTTTTTTGGTTTGGCCATGTTTTTGTTTATTGTAGTACGGAGTTAGACTGATGACCTTAATATACGTTTTCTTGTTGTTGTTGACTTGCATCCCACTGGGATTTTTGCACACAGCGTTGGTGTACGGTGCTATATCAGGAATATTTTGATGTTTTTCCTGGATTTTCTGTTTGCACATGCACAAAGTCACTTTAAGATGTTTTCTTGTTCATATTTTAGTTTTTTTGTTTGTCGCGGTTGCACCCGATTCAAGAGCCGAATGGCTCACAGGGCTATACCAAATAAATGAAACTATGAAACTACGTCTCTGTCTCTCTCCGTCGCTCGCTGTCTCTGTCTCTCTCCGTCGTTCGCTGTCTCTGTCTCTCTCCGTCACTCGCTGTCTCTGCCTCTCTCCGTCGCTCGCTGTCTCTGTCTCTCTCCGTCACTCGCTGTCTCTGTCTCTCTCCGTCACTCGCTGTCTCTGTCTCTCTCCGTCTCTCGCTGTCTCCGTCTCTCTCCGTCGCTCGCTGTCTCTGTCTCTCACTGTCCCTCCGCATCGTCTCTGTCTCTCTCCGTCGCTCGCTGTCCCCGTCTCTCTTCGTCGCTCGCTGTCTCTCTCCGTCGCTCGCTGTCTGTCTCTCCCCGTCGCTCGCTGTCTCTGTCTCTCCGTCGCTCGTTG